CATGTTTTTCTTTGTTCTTGTCATTTGTGATGTTATGTTTACATTGGTGCTATACGAGTAATCCTTGACTTTTGATTGCAATTGGAAATGGAATTTCCATCGTAAGTCAGTGCAGCCATAAAGCGAGTCATCACATCACCCCACCCAATTTTATGACTATTCTTACCATGGTTGTTAAGTGAATCAGATGGTCATTAAGTGAATCTTGCTTTCCCAATTAACTTTGCTTGTTGGGAAGGTCACCAATCACTGCACCCATTGTTAAATGCAAACTGGTTGCCACATGCCTGAATGGCAATCACATGCAATCACAATGCTCATAATTCCGAGGGTGGGTCATCAATAACTTTTCCTGAGCTTGTCATAACTTTGAACCATAACTTTCATTTAATGACCATTGAAAATTATGTCATTGAAAAATGACATTTTAACGACTGTTATGGCATCCCCATGGATTGATCACATGATCAAAATTCAGACGCTGGCAACTGCCTCATATCTATGACGGTCGTAGTGCCCTGGGGTCATGTGATCCATTTTTGTGACCTTCTGACAAGCAAAGTCAATGGGAAGCCAGATTCACTTAACAACCGTGTTACTAACTTAATAACTGCAGTGATTCATTTAACAACTGTGGCAAGAAAGGTCATAAAATTGGGTAAAAGTCATGTAACAAATGTCTTACTTAGGAAAAGAAATTTTGGGCTCAACTGTGGTTGTAAGTCAAGGATCACCTATATGCTGTTCCATCTTTAGGATTGGGGGTGACTCTAAAGATTTTTTTTAAAAAAACAGCAAATGACATTAGAAAAGTCAAGGAGCTGTAAATTCTGCCTAGAAATGAGCTTTCAATTGGTGGATTGTTTTGAAAAACATGAAAATAGGTCAGTTTGCCTTCACTCGAGAGACAGAGATGCTTTCTCCAGTTTTAATTGCCAACGAAGATATGGAAAACAAATTCTGTAGATAGAAATGTTTACTTTTTCTTTTCTGCTTAAAAAGAAGTTAGGGGGAGAAGGATGGAAAGTCAGATGAAGAGAATCCACTGTGGGTCACCTCTCTGAAGTCCAGCATGGAGTTTTACAACTGAAAAATACTAGCAGGAGAAGAGAGTTGGAAGGAGCCTTTGAGGTCTTCTAGTCCACCCCCTGCTCCAGTAGGAGGCCTGGACCTTCCCAGTCTCTTCTTGAAAGTCTCTAATGTTTAAGCATTGGAGGGAAGTTGTTCCACTGATTTATTGTTCTCACTGTCAGGAAATTTATCCTCTGTTCCAGGTTGCTTCTCTCCTTGATTAGTTTCCACCCATTGCTTCTTGTTCTACCCTCAGGTGCTTTGGAGAATAGGTTGATCCTCTCTTCCTTCCTCAGATATTGGAAGACTGCTCTTCTGTCACCCCTAGTCCTTCTTTTCACCAGTCTAGAGAAACCCAGTTTCTGCAACCGTTCTTCCTATGTTTTAGCCTCCAGTCCCCTCATCATCTTTGTTGTTCTTCTCTGCACTCTTTCCAGAGGCTCTAGATTTTTCTTATAATATGGTGATCAAAACTGGATGCCATATTCCATGGATGGCCCTCCTAAGGCTTTATAAAGTGGTATTAACATTTTATACTATTTCCACCTCCTGCTGGAGAAAAACCTCACCTCCTTTTTCGATTCCCTGCTGAAGTCTTTTAAAAACATTTCTGATCACATGGCAAAGGCAGGGACACATTGAAGGCCTGCTGGGATGTTTTCCTGCATTCCCACAGAATTATGAGTCTTTATTACTGGTCATAATTATCTTGGCTGAGATAGAAGACGTAAAATGATTTTTACAGTCTCCATAATGGCCCTTTCAAAGCCATTGGGGGAAATGCAGCATATTTCTGATCCTTCCTGGCCTCATTTAAATAGGGCCGTTAGGTTTGTTAGGGCCGCAAAGAGGGGGCCATGAGGGATGCCCAGGCACTGTGGTGTAATAATTCCAGCAAAAGCAAATATTTGGAAAGCAGAGTCCCATCCCCATTGCTGGTGACTCTGCAGAGCAAGTCTAATTGGAGAAGGACAAGCCACACAAGAGGGGCATTGCCATTCCAGCTATGCATGAAACATTATATGTTTTTATAGAATGAATGTAAATATGTTTAGTTGGAAATAAACTGAGGATCTCAGATAAGGTGGAGAAAGTATGCTGGCTTGCACCTAGAAGGGAATCTAGTTGGGAGGAGGGTTCAGAGGCATTGGAATGGCTGGACACAAACCTATATATTACGTTGATCCATGGCAGAGGCCAGCGTGGGCAACCAGGCCAATCAACACTATCCACTCTTTTACATACCTACAATGCCTGTTTAGGAGGCACCAAGGGAAGAGAATATTTGCAGGCCAGGTTAAACTGTGGAGTCTTTCGTGCACTCTCATCTTTTCTTGCAGACATTTCATGACCCAACTAGGGAACATTATCAGTGTTAGAAAAGAGGAGGGTTTGTGAGGAGGAGGAGGGGGGAGGAGGAGAAGGAGGAGGACAACGACTGCGGGGTCCTTGGTGGAAATCATAGACAAGATTCTTCCAGAAGCCAACCTATGCTATCGTCCTATTTCTTCTGAATGACTATTTTTATAGCAAAATAAATATGGATTTGCACCACTGGTATCTCAACTGATATAGGACATAGGAGCTTTACTCTATTTTTGAATTTGTTTCACTTACATGTTCATTATAAAAACCTGTCCAGATCATATATTTGGACAGCAGTTTAATGCCAGCCTAGATTTGCACTTTAAAGCTTCAGGGCTTCCTGATAGGTATTTAGCCAGTCAATATTTCACACTTGTCAGGACTTCATGACATTATTGGCAACTGATGCAAATCAGAACATGGTGCACAAGGTTGGGAATGCATTGCAAAGTGTTTGAGATGATTTACAACTGTCTTCTTAACCCACTAGTTCTGTTTCAATATCTGTATTGCTTCAAATGTGGTCATCTTTATTGAGATATGGGGTTCACCCACAGACGACCTGACACCCACTAATCCCCAGAGTGCTTACCTAGTTGTCCTCAAGAAAGTGTGGTTAGTCAGGTGAGATTCTTGTGAATGGGTGTAAAGTAAAGATACTTCTCTGTTCAATTCACAGTATCATTCTGATACCTTGTACCTGACAACTGTGATTCACTGAATAAACTAATGTGGCTGCATTTTCACATCATGCCTAACCATTCATTATGGTTCTTTTTAATTAATTTTTATTTTAAACACATAAACACATCAACAGAAACAAACACATAACTTAAAAACAACATAGGAACAATAAGTTCCATCGTATATCATACAGCAGTTCCAAATCGGTTTCTTTGCAGTTAGTGTTTTCTAACTGCAAGATACATTTCTATCTTGCATTCATAATCTCGTTTTTCGTTATCCATTTTTATATACAATTATTTATTTATTTATTTATTTATTTATTTATTTATTTATTCTTAGCTACTTATGA